CTCTTCTCCCCCTCTGCTTCTATGACTGTTGCTTATGTGATTGTCTATTACAATAAAGTCTTAAGGGTTGGTTCTACCGAGGTTCAGCTTTTAAAGCCCCCCACCCCCTCCCCCCTCGGCTCATTAGGTAGGCTCCCCCCTCACCGAGTTATATTAAATTAAATGTGGATGGTTGTTGGCATCCTGATTATGCTGCGGTTGGGGGGATATTTAGAGATTTTGAGGGTAGGTGTCTCTGTTTTTTCACCTCCCCTGTTGTTGCTGATAATCCATTGGAAATCGAATGCTGACGGGTTTTTTTGGCATTAATGGTGGCTAATGTTTTCCATTTTCATAAAATAGAGGTGGAAATGGATTCTAAAATGCTCTATGATATTCGTTTGGGTACCTCTCTTCTCCTCTGAGTTATATTATGCACTTTTAAACATATTTTAATTTTTATGGTTGAAAAGCATCTTGAGGTAAACTGAAAATTCATTCATAGAGAGGGCAACTCCACTGCTGATTGGCTTGTCAAGCATACAGGGGAGGTTTGTCACGTTGGTATCCACCCCCTTGCTCCTCTTAGAAAACTCCTCATTGGGAATAGCTTAAATCTGCCTTATGTCCGTTTTTAATCATTTTTGCTTATTGGCTCTAAGGAGGAGCTGTTTTCGGTTTGATGGTTGGGGTCTACATTTCTCCTCTTGTGTATTTTATATTTTGCTTGTCCGGTTTTCATTTTGCTACAGGTCGAGTTCAGTTTTCTGTTTCCTTGTTCCTGACTCCTGTTTACTGTTTTGATCTCATGATTTTTGTTGGTTTTTCTCTGCCCGTGAAGATGATTTTGGAGAACTCTGCTAATCTGAAGACACCTTTGTACATGATTTCTACTTTACTTTTCAAGTTACTTCTCAAGCTATACAAGAGCACAGACTTATTTATTTTTTGGCCTTTTGGTTTTTTTTTTTTTGGGTATACCTGTATTTTGGAGATTCTTTTTGGTGTGAATTATATTGTGGGGAGAGGAACTTCTAGGGGTGTGTCAATTGTATTTTTTGGGTTTCATAGACGGGGATCCTCCACCCCCAACCCCCCCC